GGAACCTCTCTGATTGCCTTACGCGACCACCGCCTGGCTGCGCGCCTGGTGGCCCTCTGCCGCCGCCAGCCGCTGCACATCTGCGTGCAGCGCTGCAGCAATCTGCAGCGGGCATAGGCGCAGCTAGGCAGAGGCGCGTGAGGCAATCAGAGAGGTTCCTGCAACAAGGACTTGGAATGGGTGCGTGCAGATGGAGGTGGAGGTGGTGGGCAGGCCCCTGGCTTGCCGACCTGCACCCACCAGGCCCATACAGTACCTGCAGCTTGCCGGCACACTCGCGCCGCACCGACTGCACCGACTGCCGCTGCTCCTCCTGCTCTGCCTGTCGCCCATTCAACTCCTCCATGAAAGCCTCCGACAGGGACAGGAAGGCCTTGTGCAGAGCAGAGATTTGGAGGAGCAGGTGGGCGGTGGAGGGCGCCGCCGCTGCTGCGTCGGGCGGCTGGCTGGCGGCGGCGGCGGCGGCGGTGGGGGTGCCGGGCTGGGAGCTCAGCTCACGCACAGCCCCGCGCAGGACATCCAGCATCTGCTGCGTCGACATTGAGCCCTGCTACTGCTGCCTGCAAAGTCGATCAATCTTCAAGGACATCGCCGAAGCGAGGAGACCCCTGCAGATGTCAATATCGATCAAACGAGTGTGTCGAAGGCTAGCGGGAGGTGTCAGGGGGCGGTTATAATGATGACAGCTATTGCCAGCCTGGCGCTCGCCCATGGGCGCCCACAGGGCTGATAACCCCGAATCAACATTCGATTGGACTCTGGAATTGTGCATTATCGCGGCGATGCAGGCTCTCGCCAAGGGCATGGCGCTGGTCGGCGTGGCCGGCCTGTCGGCAGCCGCAGGTCGCCGAGCAGCCTGCCTGCGGCCCTTGAGCAGCTACACGAGCGCCACCGCCGACGTGATTGACCCACCGCCGCCACAGAAGGTGCCGCCACCTCTGCCCTGCTGCCGCTGCCGCCACTGCTGCCACCGCCTCGCCAGCAATCAGCAGCTCGCGCGCCCGCTCCTGGCCGGCCCATCAGCGCAGATCAAGGTGGCGCTGTGCCAGCTGGCGGTGGGCGCCGACAAGCAGGCCAACCTCACCACCGCCCGCAGCGCCATTGAGGAGGCGGCCACGGCAGGTGCGGGCGCGCGGGAGGCTGCACCAGGGATGGCATGCAGCTGGCGGGGGCCTTCTGATGCTTGCAGCACTACCCAGACTGCACCTTGTGCCAGCGCCTCGCTCACCACCGGCCCAGGTCCTTCCCACCCATCCCCACGCACTCCCCGCCACCCCCCCACGCCGCAGGTGCCGACCTGGTGGTCCTGCCTGAGATGTGGAACTGCCCCTATTCCAATGACTCGTTCCCCACCTATGCCGAGGACGTGGAGGCAGGGGACTCACCCTCCACATCCATGCTGTCGGCAGCCGCCGCCGCCAACCGCGTAGTGCTGGTGCGGCAGCCGGGGGCCAGGGGAGGCTGTGCCTGCTGCTTTGGGGGGCCACCTTTGCGACGCTGACATCGCTGCTGAGGGGTCCAGCTGATTGCGGATGGCTTGTTGGAATCGGGACCCGGCATCGCAGGTCGGCGGCAGCATCCCCGAGCGAGCAAACGGCGGGCGCCTGTACAACACTTGCTTTGTGTATGGCCGCGACGGCCGCTTGCTAGGCCGGCACAGGAAGGTGGGGGCTTGGTATGGCCCGCTCAGCATGCATGCGAGCAGGCATCAGGCATCTGGAGCTGGGCGCTGGTTGTTGCCTTCTGCCCGCTGCTGCCCTATTACCCTGCAGCTCATGCTGTTCCTTGCCCCAATCCCAAGCCAGCCGCTCTTTTGCCCCCATTGGCAGGTGCACCTGTTTGACATCGACATACCCGGCAAGATAACGTTCAAGGAGAGCCTGACGCTGACGCCAGGGGAGGGGCTGACGGTGGTGGACTCAGAGGCAAGCCTAGAGCGGCAGCCCAGGGGCCCGCTGCATGCCAGTTGCTGCGCTGCATGCCTCCTCGAACAGCCGGCCATCCCTCCTCCACCCTGCCCCCAACACACACCCAGCAACTGCCGCTGCGGTGCAGGTGGGGCGCCTGGGCATCGGCATCTGTTATGACATCCGCTTCCCTGAGCTGGCCTTGCTGTATGCGGCGCGGGGGGTGCAGCTCATCGTGTACCCGGGTGCGCAGGGGCCAGGGGGCGGGGCTGTGCAGCTCTGTGGCCTGTTGGGTGAGGGTCTGGGGGCTGCCGACTGCGAGTGCACGCGAGCACCGACCATTGGCAGAGTGGATGGTCAGGGGATGTTCTGAAGCCGTCCCCCCGCCCCAACCCCAATGTTACCACCACCGCCACATCCGTCACCACCCCTGCCTGCAGGCGCCTTCAACATGACCACCGGCCCCGTGCACTGGGAGCTGCTGCAGCGGGCGCGCGCGGTGGATGGCCAGCTGTTTGTGGCCACCTGCTCGCCGGCGCGCAGCGAGGGGACAGGCTACATCGCGTGGGGCCACTCCACCGCGGTGGGGCCCTTTGCCGAGGTCCTGGCAACCACAGGTGCGCGGGCCGGCATGCTCCTCCCGCCTCTGGCGCCCTCCCCCAACTGGGAGTCAAGAGCCCCATGGCCCCCCACATGGGGCCACCCGCCTACCGCTGCCCCTGCAATGCATGCCTTTTCACCCACAAACCGCAGACGAGAAGGCGGGGATTGTGTACTGCCACATGGACTTTGCGCAGCTGGGCGAGCGGCGCGCAAACATGCCGCTGCGACACCAGAAGCGAGCCGACCTCTACTCGCTGCTGGACCTCACGCGGCCCAAGTAGGCGTGTAGAATGAGGTCCGCGGGCGGTGCTGTAATCGCTGCCAGGCATGGAGGGAGGTTAAGAGGGAGGGGGACCGCTGGGCGTGGGCGGCGCTGCGGCATGCGGCAGGGTTGACCCTGAGGCAGGCACTCGGGCCGGGTGCAGATCCGGCTGGCAACTCGACGCCATGCAGTAATGACTGAGCAGCTTTGGGTTGGGCATGGGGCGTTCATCCACCCACGTGATGACTCGCAGCACGCAGCAGCCGCTAAGAACCCATCTTGCCTCCCGGCATTCCCCCTTGTTCTTCTGAGGCTTTGCAGCAGCTTGAGTAACGCCGGCCTGCACAATGGACCAGTTCAGCGCACACTTGCAGGTGCCGCCGACGTCTAAAGCACGGCCGGCGGCCGCAAGAGAGCACTTGGTGGGCCGGCTGGTCGTGGTAGGGGGTGAGTGAGCAATGCGCCGCCATCGGGGCACGCATGGGCAGGGTTGGGTGTGCCGCCAGTTTGATGCCTGGGCGGGCTTGCTGCCGCCCGGACCCGTACCCACCACAGGCCCATTTTCGCCTGCAGGGTCCAGCGGCATTGTGGGCAGCGGCATCACCCGCCAGCTCTTGATGGAGGGCGCGAAGGTGGTGGCCCTGCTGCGCAAGGTGGACCAGAAGGCAGGCCTGCTCAGGGACTGCCAGGGTGAGCGCGGCCGCCTGCCAGTCTGGCGCTGCATGTGTGTGCACAGCGCTAGCTGCCCGGCCGATAGCGCCACTTCTTCACGCCAAGTACTGCATGCTTGGCTGTGCAGGCGCCCCCATTGAGAACCTGTACCCTGCGGTGGTGGAGGATGTGAGCAAGGAGGAGCAGTGCGCGGCATTCGTGCACGAGGTGGTGGAGCAGCACGGGGCCATTGACCATGCCGTGAGCTGCTTCGGTGCCTGGTGAGCGGGGCGATGGTGCGGCCGTGTGGTGTAGGCGTGGGCTCCCCGCATTTGGTGGTGCCACGCTGCCCTGCCGCTTGAGCCAGTGCCCCCAGCTCTACATCCCCTAACTACTAAACCTGCTGCCCTGCTCCTGGCCGCGCGGCCTGCAGGTGGCAAGGCGGTGAGTGAAGATGAGGCTCGCCTGCAGCGGTTGTGGCCGTCTGGGCTGCCGTGGCCCGCTCACCTGCCCTGCAGCCCACCTGTCCTGCCTGCCCTCCCGTCCACCCGCTCAACTCTGCCCGCCTGCCACCCTGGGGCTGCAGGCTTGCTGACGGAGCAGAGCTACGCCGAGTTCAGCCGCGTGCTAGCCAATTTTGCGGGGAGCCATTTCACCTTTGTGAAGTACATTCTGCCCGCCATGCGCCAGTCACACACAAGCAGCATGCTGTTTGTCACAGGAGGCGTGGGTGAGCTGGGGAGTCCTGGGGCGGGAGCCGCCACGGGGGCAGGGCAGGGAGCTGGCGGGCAAGACGCAGGCAGCCTGCTTGCCCTGCGCTACTTCCGCGCCTGCATCTCCAGCCCCTCGCCGACCCGCTGCTCGCTCGCCACCTGCCCCAGCCCCACCTGCCCTCATCCAGCCGAGTGCCCCCGCCCCTGCCCCCATGCACGCGCAGGCAAGCGCGTGCTGAGCGCCGACTCGGGGCTGGCCACCGTGGGCGGCGCCGCCCTGTACGGCATTGTGCGTGCGGCGCAGGCGCAGTACCAGGGCCGCCCGCCGCGCATCAACGAGCTCCGCATATTTGCGCTGGTCACGCGGCACGGGGGTGCGCGCCTGGGCTGGGCCGGGCTGCGGGTTGTGTGCGTGGTGGATGGCACGCTGCAGCACATCCGATGCTTGGAAGCTGCGCTTGGCCCCCGCTTGGGCCCCGACTGACGCCCCCTCCTCTCCTAACCGGTGCCCTGCAGAGATGCCCCGCTCGCACTCCAGCATCGTGGAGGGGCTGCGGGCACACTCCAACCGCAAGGTGGGCCCGGCACGCAGCTCCTCCGCCCGCATGCGCTGCTCCCAGCTGCTGCCCTGCGCGCCGCCGCCCAGCGGGTCGCACTGGCAGCTGCACGCCTGCGCCTTGACGCCGTGCCGCCGCCGGCATTGTCCCTGTGCCAACAGGTGGGAAACCTGGCTGCGGAGGCGCTGGCGGCGGCGGCCGACGATGAGCTGCTGGAGGTGACCTCGGAGCGGCTGGATGGCGTGATGCTGATGGTGGGCGACTAGGCAGCTGAGCTGGGGCAAGCTGGGCAGGGCTGCGCCTGTGCCGCCGATGGACAGGCGCGGCAGATGCCGACCCCAAGCTGCCTGACCAACAACCAAACGCAAACACACACCCTGAGCCGATTTTGAGCGCTGCGAGACGGGAGAGTGCGCTTTCATTTTTCCACTGCAATGTGGCCCCACATTCATTATGTTCTAGTTCAAGTTTTATTGGCACGACCATGCAACACTGCCCCTTCCTGTCATCGAACCCCGGCGCCTCACATCGCTTCCTGGCGAGCTCTCACGGCAGCTATGCTGGCCGGCCTGGTGGGCTCCCACAGCAGCTGTCTGGCAGGCCTGTTACAACAGGAGCTCTGCCCCGCGGTGGGGGCAAGGCAGGCCCCCGAACACACGCCGTGAATCCAGGCTAGTGGTGACTCGGAAGGCGGGCGAGAAGCGCACGCACGCAGCTGGCACGCTTGCGGCTGCCAGCACGCGTGCCCATCCATGCCGCGCCGCGGCAGCCTCGGCGGCCGCTGGGCGGCGCTCCGGAGCTCCGCAGCGCTCCGCGGCGCCGCCGCCCGGCGCAGCGCCTGAAGAGCCGCCGCTCAGCGGCTTTTCAGGTACTCCTGCAGGATGGCCAGGCCCTCGGTCTCCTCGCCGTAGTCGGTGATGACGGCGCAGGAGCACTTGACCACCTTGCGCGCCTCGCCCTCGCTGTCAATCTTGCACAGCCCCGCCCACTGGCCCAGCGTCTGCTGCTCGGGCACGGAGATGAGGTTGACGCTCTGCTCGGCGCACAGCGCCTCAATCAGCTTCTTGTAGTCGGGCTGGTTGCAGTCGTCCGCCAGGATGGCCAGCTGCGGCGGGGCAGGGCGGGGAGCGAGGAGGCGGTGCAGGTTGGGGAAGCGGTCCGAGAGGCAGCACGTGTCGCAGCGGTGTGGCCGAGTGGGTGGATGGTGGGTGGGGAGTGCAGGGAGGAGACGGGAGATGGACGGGAGGAGTGACGGCAAGCGTCGCGGCAAGCAGGAGGGCGGGGCATGGGTGTGTCGGGCTGGTGCCGCCGCCAGCATGGAGCGGGATGCAGCGCCCGCTCCATTGCTGTCGACAACTCCACAGCCGACACACATGCAGCTCCCTCCCCAAACCTCCAGCCGCCCCGTGGCATGGTCCCTTTGCCAGCACGATGCCACACCCAGACCTCGTTGAGAGACCAGACGGGGACACCCCACCGGCCGCCTTTGGGGGGTGCTACCAGCCACCCAGCCCTCTGCAGACAGCCCTCCATCGACCCCTCCCCGCCGCCAGCCACCCGGCCGCCGCCGCCAACGCCCCCCCTTCAAACCCGCCTCCCAGCGCCTCCCAGCGCCGCACCTGGGCCTGGCCGCGCTCGATGGAGCGGGCCGACTCGTGGAGGCCGCGGGCGAGGCCGTCGTGCGCCAGCGCCTTCTTCATCACCACCTGGATGGCGGTGTTGAGGTCCATGGGCTCGCCGGGGGCGGCGGCCGCAGGGGCCTCCTGCACAGACTTAGGGCTCTCCCCTCTGCACGCGAAGCGGGGCGGCGGGGGCAGCGGTCAGGAGGGAGCGGTGGAGAGCCTGTTGAGGGAAGGTCTGCGAGGCGGCTGCGGCCCTCGCCGGCCTGCCAGCCAGCGCACCCGTCAGACATGTTGGTCCTCGACAGATAAACTGCCTCCCTGTGTCTTCTTCCTTCGAGGAAGAGCCTGCGGGCGGGCGGCGGTGCAAAAGCGGCGGTGGGCGGCTGCGGCGGCACAGCAGGACGGCGCGGCCTGCGGCTCTGCGGCCGTGGCTTTTTCGCCCAGCCGGCCAGCTGGTGCGTTCGGGGTGCCCTGATGCTGGCTGGGGCGCCGTCTGGAGCGCATCAACCATGCCAGCAGCATGCAGGTGCGGCCGCGGCGCACCTTGGCTTGCTTGGCAGATGCGCGTGTGGCAGGGGTGCAGGCAGCCGGTCCGGCTTCATGCAGGCGCCCAGCCGACTTTCCAGGGTCCCCATGATGGTCGACCAGGGCGCGGCGGCACTGTTTCACGCGAGTTTTCCCTCAGCCAGCATATTGATCCGCCCTTGCCGCATCCATTGCCCCAATTCAGACCCCAAAGCCCGTCAGGGGCCACCGCACAAAGCATCACCCGCTTCACTGTGCTCCCCGCGGCGTGCCAGGCTGAGCATTTGGCCTCTTGGAGGCAGTATAGGGCGTTATGCCCACCATGGGCCCGCAACAGAGGAAGAAGCCGGGCGTGCCGGCCAAGAAGAAGCCGCACGGTGCGCGGGGACGGTCCCAACGTCACTGCAGTGCAGCAGCGCATTCCAAAGTTCAAGAGGAGGGCGCCCAAGGCGCGGGGCTGGCGGTGATGGGCGCTGTTTGTGTGGGCTGCAGAGAGGAGGCGCGAGGACTCGCCAAGCCCCAGCAGCTCCTGCAGCGACTCAGACGAGGAGTTTTCTGATGAGCAGGAGGACGAGGAGGACTACAAGCGGGGTGCGGGGGGGCTATGGTGGCAGCGGCGGTGCCGGTGCCGCCAGCCCCTCTGCTCTGCCCATGCCTCTTTGGGCCTCTTTGTCTATACTTGTGGCCAGGCTGGGCAGGTCCCCACCATTCCCGCTGGCCAACAGATGCTATACCATCCCAGTGGGCGGTGCGACGCTGCCCGGCCCGCCTCACGTCGCCCCGCTCTGCCCGCCGCCGGTGCGCAGGCGGCTACCACCGCGTGCGCGCTGGAGAGAAGTTCAAGGATGGGCGCTACACCGTGCTGCACAAGCTGGGGTGGGGCCACTTCTCCACGGTGTGGATGGTGCGGGACGAGCAGGTGGGTGCAGGCCAGGATCGGCAGCCGCGCTGCCGCTGCTGTCCAATCCCGCTCTCGCCGCCTGTGCCTGGCTGCCTGTGCCCGCCCGCGCCACCTCGCCGCCCGCGCCTCACTTTCTGCCGCCGCCCGACCAATGACGGCGCCGCCGGTTGGCTGCCGTGCCGCAGACGGGGGAGTTGGGGGCGATGAAGGTGGTGAAGGCTGCGGCGCACTACAGCGAGGCGGCGCGCGACGAGATCACGCTGCTGTCCCAGATTGCGCAGAACGACCCGGGTGGGTGGCCGGTGGCCGGTGGCCTGCGCACGTGTGTGTGTGTGTGTGTGTGTGTGTGTGTGGAGGGCCGAAGGCTGCCACCAGGGATGGCTGGGCGGTCTTGGGGAGGGCTGTGGCCTCACAGAGGGCGCATCGCTTTGGCACGCGGTCCAACGCCGCCGCCCCCGCCCCGCCCCGCCCCGCCCCGCCCTTGCCTGCCGCAGAGGACCGCCACTACTGCTGCCGCATGGTGGACCAGTTTGAGCACAGCGGGCCGCACGGCCGCCACGTGTGCATGGTGTTTGAGGTGCTGGGCGACAACCTGCTGACGCTCATCAGGTGGGGTGGTGGGGTGCGTGGGTGGGCAGGCGTGGGGTGGGCAGGTGTGGGGTTGTACCGCGGAGCAACTGGCGCAATCGCCGGGGCTCCGGCGGCAGGAGCAGGCCCCTCTGCGCGCCGCCCAGCCAGCCCAATCCCCAGCCCAGCCCAGACGCCACGCATGCCACGCTCGTCACACACGCGCGCTGACTCGCACCGAGCCCGCCGCCCGCGCCGCCGCAGGCTGTACGACCACCGCGGCATCTCGCTGCCCGTGGTGCGCCACCTGGCTCGCCAGGTGCTGGTCGCGCTGGACTACCTCCACACCCAGTGCCACATCATCCACACAGGCGCGCCCCCGGGCCCCGTGCATGCGGTGGTGGCGGGCCGAGGCAGGCCGGGCACCAGGGCCGCCGCCGCCCCTCTGCTGCGCCTCGGCGTGGCTGCCAGTGCCGCCAGCCGGCGGGCCCATCTGGCGTCCGCCCGTCTGCTCTTGCTCTTGCCCTGCCTCGCCCGTCCGCCTGACGCGGCCGTTTTTCTTTCTTTCCTTCCCCTGCCCCGCCTGCAGACCTGAAGCCCGAGAATGTGATGCTGACTGAGCCGGTAAAGCCGCGCCGCTCCTCGCCCAGCCAGCCCGACGCGCCGGGCGGCGGCGGCGGCCCGCTGCTCGCGGCGCCCGCCCCCGCCGGCCGGCCCAGCAAGCTGGAGGCGGTGGTGGCTGCGGGGCAGCCGCTGACCAAGAACCAGAAGAAGAAGCTGCGGCAGAAGGCGAAGAAGAAGGGAGGGGAGGGCGGCAGCGAGGCCTCCGCCTCGGCGGCGGACTCGGCGCAAACGGAGGACGCCAGCGGCGGCGGCGGCGCGGGCCAGGAGGCCAGCAGCGGCGGCGCGGCGGCCGCCAACGGCGCCTGCCAGCACCCCGCCGCCGAGCCGCGGCAGGAGGAGGGAGACGGGC